TTTTGTCCAATCACAGATGCTTATTTTGTGTTTCACTTTTGTTTGTGGTAGCTCACAAAATGAGCACTACAGAAGCATCATCTGATATGCAAAAATATGCTTTAGTAAGTGAAAAGCATCATCTGTAATTTTAGATTTACTTGTAAGGATTTTAACCCAAACTATGTAATGCAAAATTCATAGAAAGACTGGCTGCACCCGTGTTAAACAATGACGATGTCTTTATGTAGTAAAAATTGTATAAATCTGATACAGAATGGTGCGTACCTGCAGTTTGTACTTTATTTGAACAGTGGTCAACGCCATGAATCAAATTTTATAATTTAGCTGATGCTTATAGGAACAGATGACCCAGAGTAATCTGAGTGAAGTGAAGATTATAGACAACCCCTTGTGGAACCGTCAAATTACAGCCTAGACAGTCAGTGTCCTTTTTCTTTTCTGTACTTAGACACTTTAGAGCAAGTAAACTAAGGTACAGACTATAATTTCCTCAGGAGAGGCACATTTATTTTGCATTGTCTGAAACCCTGTTAAAATTTGGGATATTTGGGAAAGTCTAAATACACTTAAAAAAAACACTGATTTGTGTAATTTTTAGGGCTGTCAGTTTAACGCGTTAACTTAATTAGTTATGAAAAATAACGCAATTTAAAATATTTTAATGCAGTTAACGCACTGGCCCCGCCCCCAGACCTGTACATCATCTTACATTTCCTACAGTTGACTGTTGACAAATACGATGCAGGGCATCAACTCCATAAATGCAGTTATGCTCTAAAATTCAAGATATTGGGGCAAAAAATGCCCCTGTATGAGTTTTTGTCACATAATTATATCATATGATATGCGATATCACACGAGCAGCAAGAGCAATATCACATGGGTGCTGTTTTTGTCACAAATATCAGGAGTTTAAATGTGATTTTATACAACAGTTCAGTAAATAAGTTATATTTTATATTTTAAACACAATATTGTCTGTTTTTGCTCAGTTTTGCCAACAAAAATATTACCTATAAAGCCATTGTTGTGTGTCTCCGAGCAGCACGGCGGTGTTTAGTTTCTGAATGAATCAGCCGTTTAAACTAATCAAATTAATGAATGACTCAAAGACATTTACCGCAACCTGCTGGCAGTTTTAGTTTCTTATTTAGAGTATAATTTCATTTGAAAAAAAAAAAACGAAAAAAAACTAAAGACCTTAAAGGGATAGCTCACCCAAAAATGTAAATTATGTCATTATTTACTCACCCTCATGTCGTTTCAAACTGTGGCCACGTTCACACAGCAGCAGAATACGGTTGTCAGTCCTGTTTTTGAGTCCTTAATACGGTTACGTTCACACACAGTTCGGTTATTTACGGGCGTGACAATCTCATTCTGTAACCGAACTCACACCTGTACATTTTCAGGACTCACAACATTCTCGGAACACACGCGCTGTGTGAACGGAAACGGACTGGACAACTAGTTGTCTGTCACGTCATACAGTGCGAGAGAGAGCCGCTCTGCCGCACAAACACGCGTCTACCGTGTGTTACGTGTTTTCGGTAACTTACAGTGACAGAGAAATGAGCTGCGTGTCATCTGAAAGTTTTAGATCCCGTCAGTTTTCCACCGGAGCCGCTCTCGTGAGTTTTGTGCTCTGCGCGCGATTCAAATGCTCCGCTCTCCACCCAAATATAAAATCTGCTGTCGGTTAATGAAGATTTGACGAAGGAACTCGCGGCTCTATTGGACTCTTATTGTGTCAGAAAGTGATAAGACTTTCAGTTTTATGTAGGGATGCACCGATACCGAGCTTATCTATTTGATAAATGAAGTTAACCAACTAACATTATACATACTCTTTTGGTTTCTCCTGTACCCAATATTTTAAAAAATTACAAATGCAATGAAAATATTAGTATCGGTACTCGATATCGGCAAGTACCAAAAATAAAAGTATCGGTATCGGGCGAGTACTGGAAAAAGTGGTATCGGTGCATCCCTAGTTTTATGGACGTCGCCATCTTTGATTTTACTTTGGTCAGTGTCGCTATGGCAACTGGTAAGGAATACGGGCTTGACTCCCGTTGCGCGTTCATACAGACAGTATTCTAAACACAACTGTAAGCTGCTGTGTGAACGGGACATTTCGAGACTCACACCTATAAAGAAAATGCGGTTGTCAATCCCAAAAACTGACAGTGTGAACGTAGCCTAGATGTTTCAAACCTGTATGAATTTCTTTTGCGCAACAAAAGGAGGTATTTTGAAAACTGTTGATAACCAAGCTGTTTCGGTTACCAGTGACTTTCATTGCATGCACAAAAAATACAGAGATGTTTCACAAATGATCTTCTTTTATGTTCTATAGTTTAAGTTAGTAGCTTAAACATTTATGTGTAATAAATTTTATGTTGAATCAAATAAAATATTTCTTTCTAAAGCTACTCTTTGAAATGTCTACTTGATACTTTCTCATGTAACACAATAATAGCTTTAAATTATCTTTTGTGGGTATTTTCACAGCCAAATTTAATTTGCGATTAATTAGCTTAATTAATCGACACATCATGTAATTAATTAGATTAAAAATTTTAATCGACTGACAGCCCTAGTAATTTTGTTGCCTAGCAATAAACATGAAACATATGTAAAATATATGTAATTTAATTGACTAAATTTATTAAATGAAAAAGGCTAGAATTGGTAACAGGTTAGCAAATTTATAAGTTAATCTGTCACTGAATATTTGGTCCCAAACTAGCTAACCCCAAACTTCAGCGACAGAATTCAGTGACCGTTGTAAATTTGCTAACCTGTTACCCATTCAAGAAGTTTATCAACTGGAAAGTTGATTAACTTATTTCCCATAAATTGAAAACATTTGATTGACCATTTTTTCTTGCAATAAGTTTGGGTAATTGTTAAATGATTGGGGTTGATGAATTCAGTCAACACTGCACTTTGTGTAAAATTTGAGGAAAAACAATGTTTTACTTGTCACCAATGCCGTAATTGGGGGAAATCATGTGGTAACAGGGTTGACTGCAAAATGTTGGAAACAAAAAAACACAATGTTTATGGTTATTTAAAATATGTTAATCTGTATAATTAGTTTTACTACAGTTGTTTATCAATTCATCAGATTATGTGAAAATTGTTGGATGCAGTCAAGAAATCTTATAATCTAATAGTTCTCACACACAAAAAATGTGGTATTTGTTTCTTTTTACAAAAAAAGTAATGGGACACTGAAGTGTACCCTATTCATGGAAACTGCCCTATAAACTTTCTAGGAGACAAAGGAATTGCCCCTTTCTGAAGTAGACTACCTCATCCAATAGCATACCTCATTCTCACATCTGAACGTTTTATCTTTCCATAAATTAGGCGTTCCCAGAGAGCTGATCACAACTATCGAGATGTTGATGATGAGGATGGCTTGCCACCGAGAAGCTTGCATGATGGGATAAGGGATAACTGTATTGGTTCTGGACCCCTCAAGCCACCCTTGGCCCGCTCGCTCCTCATAAAAGAGGAACTCCTGAGCCAGAAACATCGCCTCCTTGGCCAACCTCTTTCTTTGGCTAGCCTAGAGTCTGCGGGTCTCCTCAACAGCCAAGCCCAATCCCTCCTTTCCCGCGATGGGACATGGGGGAAATCCCATCTAGATGGCCTCCTGAAGCTCAAACAAGTTTGCGGCGACCTCAACGACCTGCCTCTTTTCCAGGAGAACCAAGGCGCATTCACCAAGGGTACAAAGTCCCATGATAGTGGTTCCATCACGGTAAAGAAAGAACCAGGACATTCCCCTCCAGTGGACTTGAAGATCCCGCAAGTCAGAGGCATGGATCTGTCTTGGGACTCCCATGGGAATGCATCGGATCTCTACACTTACAGCTCTATAGTTTTGGGCAATGTGCACTCTGAGAATGCGCTCAGTAGGAAGCTGAGGGCCATCTTGCCAAAGCAGGGTCGCAGAGCCGCTCTTGGAGGCCTTCTAGATGGAGGAGCCGTGGGTGAATACTGGGGTGCAGAGCTTGAACAGCCAACTTTGGGACCTCAATACCCGACATCAGATCCAGAGGCAGACCCGACCGGCTCCAAGCAACCCCGAAAGAAAAGGGGACGGTATCGTCAGTACAACAGCGATATTCTAGAAGAAGCCATTGCTGTGGTGATGAGTGGGAAGATGAGCGTTTCGAAGGCGCAGAACATCTATGGTATTCCCCACAGTACCTTGGAGTACAAGGTGAAAGAGAGGTTGGGCACCCTGAAGAACCCACCAAAGAAAAAGCTTAAACTGATGATGAGGGCAGAGGGGCAGGACTCTGGGATCACCACCGAAACCGAATCCACGTCGACGCCCGCCACCACACCCATCGCAATGCAAGTGGATGTCTTGCAGGGGACAGGAGAAAAAGTCGAGTAGATAACACAGAACACCTCATAAAACGGAAAACGTTTTAGATTCTGACAGACTCAAAAAACTAAAATTATTTGGAATTGAGGATGAGGCTTTAATTGTGCCAATTTATACTTGCAGTATCTGGGTGAGCACAACTGCAGGGATTCATGGGAGGATTTAAGCCTGATAACTGGGGATAAGAAACAAATTGGCAGTTATCACAGTGGTCGCATTGACACTGCAAACATTTGCAGAAGTTTTTTACAACATAAAGCAACAAATGCGTACTAAAGCCATAAGAGAGTATCGACAGAGAGACATTTTATTAAAAAAGAAAGGCAAGCAGATTAACCCTTTGTTCACCCCCTTCATCTGAACTTTGCGAGCTACGCCATTAGTGCTCATGCGTTTTGGACAGCATGCCATTTTGAGAAACGAGAAGCGGGGTTTCAAGGGTTACGTGCAAGGCTGGAAATTGACCCATCAAAGATTAATTTATCTCCTCTGATTGGTAGGTTTATGAAATAATTCATGATCTTTAAAACTAATTTATTTCAAATGGAGTTGACAAGGATTCTCACCAAGGATCGATCCTAGGCCCATTTTTCTATTAACAGGTAAAAACAATTGCTTTCAACTCTTTTTAGTTTCCTCCTTTTATATTCTGCACCATTGAAATGGACTAAGAATTAGACGCGTCCATTTTAAAAAATGAAGCTTAAGATTAGTCATTCAGGGATGCATGTTTGTGATGTTGAAAAGATTTTTTTTTTACTTTACTGTAAACTTTTCTTTAACTCTAGCGCTTTCTTTTGCACTACACTTTCAGTCTGGCGCTCGCCAGAGCCTAAATCTGGCAGTTAGACCTGATTACCTCGACACTGCTTGCATTACGCACTTACTGTTCTGTCTGGCATATTAGATAATGCTCATTTTACAGTACTCTACTCTTGGTGAGAGCCTCTCCCTTAAAAGGATTTCAATGCCCATGAAGGGACAATGCCGACTTAAGCCACACAGGACAGGAACGTGTTTGCGATTCACATCTTTCTACTAAAATTAATCGAGGGAGGGTGCACGCAGTCAACTTTTGGCTGATTCTGGCTGCTCCCTCGTCGCTGCTTATAGTCAGTCACTGACATGTATATTTATAAAAAGAAGAGCATTTTCGCAGAGGTTTGGTTTTGGGGAATACCTACATTTCCATAGGTGGGGGGAAATGTAGGTAGGGTTATGACCATATAACCCTGTTATAGCGTTCTTTCAGAGAGCCAATTCTTGTCTCTGAATGGTTTCTTTTCCTCATGTAAAACTCAGGGCAACTGAGACAAATATAGTGATCATGTTTTTAGGGAAACAATGCATTATACCTACTTGAACTGGAACCTGACACACAATTCTCAGTCAGTGAGTTGGGTCAGGGGCAAGGCTTTATACCGAGCGTAGATTGGGTCGAGCTGAGCCATGGATTGCAGATATTGGTGGGATGTTATCGTTCGAAACACCTGGCCAGTTGTGAATTTTCTTCGATCTCTCTGAAAATAGCACTTTGTTTAAAAAGAAAAGTGAATATGTTTGGGTGTGTGTTTTAAAGTAGCTTTTGCAGTAGCAGATAGCATAAAGGAGACTTGCAAGATCAAAGGGGGAGCATTTCAACGACCCCTGGCATCCTGCAACTTAGACCCAAACATGCTCATTTTGTTTTGAAAAAATTACCTCTTCAATATACAGTGGTCGACAGCTTAAATTCTCAGATTTGTCTAGTGTTGCCTCACTGTTTATTGTCACATTGCCCCTTTTTCAAATCTAAACTGTGTCGTCTGATGTATATAAAACCGAAAAAGCGCATAGATCTGTGAAGATTTCAAAGAGAAGGCTTTTGGAATGGCATGCTCCACTTTGATGTTGTTTTGAAGGGCATTCTGGTATATATCACTGCCTGGTGCTCACCCAGTCTGTGACAAAAATTATACTTCAAACTTCAGGGTTTCTGATGATGAAACGGACTCTTTGAAATGTACCTTTTATTTATTTCATTATTTAATTTGAATCATTTAAGTAAATGGCATGCACCAGTTAAGTGGAGGCTGATTTACTATTTATAATCTGACACTTGGTGGCGGGGTTGTAGACAACCGGGAACACTGTCCTGGGCTCACCTTTATAATATTAGACCTAGTGAATTCAAGTAATTCTAGTAATTTCCCACATTATATTAGGCTTGTATAAATTGTATATATTTCCTACAATACTATACTTGTAAGTATGGGTGTCATTTAAATTATTATTTCACAAAGCAAAAATGATTTTAGTGTTGTTAGCTTTGTTTAATGAAGTTGAATTGCAATTATAGCCATGTGTGGAGACACTACTGAAATTAATAGAAATCAGAGTATTTTAATCAATACAACATACAGTAGTAAACCACTGATGTGACATATTTGGTTCAGTTTATAAATTATGATCACATGCTGCTGTACTTCTACATGAAACAAGTCGAAGGAAAGAATTTTAATGTATAAAGAGTCATAACTAAGTTAGAATCATATTCATACGTATAAGCTCTATACTGTGTAAATCCCTTTAGGTCATCTGGCATCAAATGCACCAACACTTTACCAATGCTGAGCGTTTGAAGTGTCTAATTAGAAATTAGTTAGGTCCTTTATCAATCAATCAGTCAATTAGATTTATTTATTAATCAATGTGATGTAAAATACTACTCAGTTTTGATTGACTCTTGCCATTTAAACATTTCTTAACCAGTATTTTTGTCTTGTTTTACAGTAAAAATATTAAAGATGCGCAAGTCAAGATGCCCAAGTTTTCTTGGTTTCTTAGAAAATTCGAAACCCTTGAATTACATTTTTCTTACCCTTATTTCTTCTTATTTGGCAGATTTATTTTTCTCGTTTTAAGTATAAATTTAGTTGGATTCTCCAAATAAAATTACTTGAAATATTTACTGTAAAACAAGATAAAAATATTAGTTTGAAGTGCAACTAGTAAATTAGTAGTAGATCAGTAGCTACAACTGGATTGTTAGTACTACTAGTACATACATATTCTATTATAATTGAATATTTGCCCCTATAATTGGCACTTAATATTTTTTGCACTGATGGCAATGACTGGAAGTTGTTTTGCAGCACTTAAATCTAAAAGTTTCAAACGATCACTTCTTTATTGCTAATCTAGAAAGTTTTGAACTTTCACAATGCTACTGTACATTCTACAACCTTTATTTATCATCAGCTGTCTGATTCACTATGGTGCATGCCATTTCAACATATTTATTTAATTTGACTTTAATGATTAATGTATTACAGGGTTAACGGCTCCCCCTGTCCAAAAACATCCTCCTCTTGAAGAAATTATACCGTCTTTACTCAAATGAATGTAAAACCATTTACGAAAAACTTCTAACTAGTTGTTTAGAAAATATGGCACTTTCACATTTCATACTTTGAACAGACTGTTTTAGTTTTTCTCTTGCTGCTCGTGTTTCAATAGTTTTTTGTTTAGTTTTTTTGCGTTTCTCTGAAACGTACACCTGTAGCCTTCAGTACTTTCGTATCTCAGGATAGATTCAGCAGAAGGGTTCGCAATATTTGTCAGTCGGATAACGATGCAGACATAACTACCTGTACAAGACGTGCATAGATATGTTATATTAACTACAGTCTTTGCACAATATACCTCATCCTCGGGAATAAACGCACCTTTCTGTGCCACATCCTTAAATACCATTCAGGGGCACGTGGAAAAGGAGCAGTTGAAACTCTGGGAAATTAATTTTATTTTCCTATTTCACCCTCTTTGTTGTCTTCTACGAGAGGGATGGCAAGCGAGGCATTTCATGTGTCTGACTGACCAATATTTACACCCTTTTCATTCAGGTACAGAAAATCGAACTTTTTGAATACAATCAAAAATTTCGCTTAACATTCTCATCTTGCCAATAACGGGTCCCATCCTTTAAGTTAACTTATAATGTTGATCGTCAAGGCAAATATCAAAGGATACTGTAGGTAAGCCACAATACCTTTTTCCTGTATACTGTTAAATGCGATTTAACAGTCATGGGTGTTTTTGTGAAAAACACAAATGGAGGTTTGAAGGGGAGAATATGGGACAGGTGGAAATGTTAACCTTCTGTTGTTTCTGTAAACTTGTTTTTAAACTGCATTCCAAAAATTTCCAGAGATACCTTTATATGGAAGAAAAATCTATACATATACAAATGAATATATATTATATTTATTTTACTGTTTATCTTTTTATTTGTCTTTTTTTTCTGGTTGAAATTGAAATGCTACACTAAGAAATGATGGGAAAACGACGCTGACAGCTACAACCTCAGTTTCTGTACCATATGAAGTGCCATTTGTTTGTCTCAAGTGGCTCATAATGACTTATTTTCTGAAAAGATGCTCAGATTTTTTCCCCCCCTTTTATGACTTTCACTGCATATCCACATAACGGCATTACCTCAGGTGAGATCTCCCAGAGCAGCTGATTCTACATTTAGTTGTAGAAATCAGGACCTGTACTTGACTTTTACACGTTTCCAAAACCGCAACGATTACTTTTCAAGGAAGCAGTTTATAAATGACGCTAGTGGCATTTTTGTTTTCCTCCGGTGCGTTTTAAAATATTAATGCTTTGCTTAACTGAACCACGGGTCTTTTTTTAAATGCAACTTTATTGACGTTAGCACATGAAAGTTCAAATCAATAGGGCACACATTTGTACATCACAATTAATACACACATGCACACAAAACACCATCAGGTCTACATCATGTGGGTGGTTATACAGTTTTAGGCTAATGGTTTGATATCTTAATGAGAAAGAAACAGAAAAGGCATATATGGACACATAGGCACTCCAAATTAGCTGTCTTTATTATTATTCTTGCATCTGATTAAATGTCTCTTTTCAATGTCATTTAGATACATATTGAGTTGTGACTGTATTTTGTTTTTTTTTCAAAGCATTTTTTGTTTTGTTTTGTTTAAGCCCAGAATTATCTTTTATCTTGTCATGTTGCAGGTCTTTCGAGTTTATAACTTTTTTTTCCCCCCACTGATTTTGGTGAAATGAAAATGAATAGGCACACCTTTATTCGACAGAAAACATCTTTGAAATTGGGAGAAACAAATTGTCGGCAAACATTGTAGTCCAATTCTAGATATCCTTCATACTGTCAATCTATGCACTTGAGAGGATAAAGTTACTTGCACCATTAACTGTTTTCATGTGTTTGTGATGATGTTAAGTAGTTTTAGGGGCCATAATTTTCATTTAATGGCATGATATTAAGTCAAATATTTTATTAGATTTAGATATCCATCATTTGAAGCAGTATTTGTAATGGTACAATTCGCAGCACAAGCCATGGTAAAAGACATGTTTGGAATGTAACCTTCTAGAGAAACATGTCTCAGAGAAAACTGATGGAATATGCACAGACAGTTTAGCTCAGAATAAGATCAACTCAGATATTTGCGTTCACCATGATACTGTATACTTCATGCATTTCGTTAGAATATCGGTGTCATCCGGAGTGCCTGTTTTGCAGTGTTCAATCGTCACCAATAGTTTGATAATTGCATTCAATCATCATTACATGATTAATCCTGGTTTACTAATTAATTGAAACGATATTGAGCCAATAATACATACTGATAATTGGTAACAACAATCGAAAATCATTAACCAAGGCGACTATCAATGTCGCCACTAGTGGAATTGTTTTTAAACACTCTCGGGGTTTTTCATTGGTCCAGCAAACAGATAACCACACCCCCAACACACTATTGGTTAAGCCAATGTTGCTATGCTAGGCTGGGGTGCATTTCCCAAAAGCATCGTTTTCCAACTAGGGTCGAAAATTCCGTTAAACTCTTTTGTTAATGACAGAACTTGACAGAAATGCACCTGTGGTCAGGATGCTCAAACAAATAGGGGTGTGTTTCCCCTACAACGATGTAACTCGCTGCTTAACCACCATAATATAATGCATCGTTGTAGAAACTAACTAGCTATTCACGACTGTTTCCCAAACATGGTCGCATCTCCGTCGTTTGAACCACATTGGTTCAACAATATAGGACGGTTGTTAATGATGTCACATGCATGTGGTGAAGTAATAACTTCTGCTAATTAATCGACTTGAGATCTCTGAAATGCTGCTGTAATGAACATGTACTTAAATAAGCTAGCAAGAAGCTAAATTATTCTTATTGATCACCATTTTATTCTATTTAGTTATTGTTTTATTGGGGTAAAAGAATTTATAAATACATATTTTTGCAAATAATTATTGAAATGTATTTATCTCTCTCTCTCACTATATATATATATATATATATATATATTACACATTTTTTAAATAGGATGTAAGATATAGATTTTACTGCATGCTAGCTTTCTTCCTGTGCCCAAGAGCATCATTTATTTAAGCCCATGTCTTACTAACAAGAAACTATGCTTCTAACCACAGGTGGAGAGCTGTAGTCCCAACCACGTAAGTTTGCGATGCTGTTTGTGAATGTTCGCTTGAACTGTGGTTTCAGAAAACACTGAATTGTTGAACTATGTTGGTAACGATGGAACATGCAACCATAGTGGGCTAACAATGCTGTCGGGAAACGCACCCCTGATCAATGTTTTGAGTATTTACCAGTATTTACGCTTTTTAGGGGAATCAAACAACTAAGTTAAAATCAAAAAGTTATTTTCTAGTCAACATTAAAAAACAGGGACAACATAAATAATTTTAATATCAATAAAATTACACACTTCCTTCGAAGGCTTGAGTGAAGCTGTGAATTATATGGAACAGAGCCATAAAAATTCAACACCAGACCGCTGCCTCTACTGTCTCTAGAATGAAATATTAATATGGCTGGCGATGATGACTTAGTCATTCTTAAGAGGTTCAATGCTTGCTCAGTGAGAGGTCAAATAGAGCTGTGAAAACGCAAATGAAAGTGGAAAGGAGAAAATGGGCTTGAACAAATGGCCAACGTTCTTCTAGAGAACTTGAGAGCTTTGGGCCGTGAAAGGGCTGCCCTTGTGTTGCCATGACAATCTTGCAAGATCATTCACAAGTAAAGGTGTGTCTATTCCAATTATGCTTTTATTAAGGCAAAACCCACATTCTTTTCCAGTTTTTTATTTTATACCAGGATTGTGCATTTTATGTATTTTATGTTATTTCTACCATTGAAATGTAGACCTAGTTTGTGTTAATTTGGTTTTCTTGCTAATTTGCCGAGACAGAAATGAAGAGAATATTAGATTGAAAATGTGTTGGGAGTTACAATGTTTCCAAACAAGAGTCCTTCCTTCTGCAATTTGTCCTTCTACTATGTTGGCATTGCATGGTATTTCATGCCTGAATCTGCTCTTGACCATTAACTTCATCCATGACTGTTTCAACCCTGCAGTCCATTGAGTTCTGCGGGATTAGGATAATTAGTTTTGCTACCTCAACTTTCAGATGGTTTTGACTTAGGAGCCCTTTGGTAGTAAAGCAAAAATGACTTGTATATTGAGGGACTGACTGTCCCTACAGGCTT